TGTGTGTGTGTGTGTGTGTGTGTGTGTGTGTGTGTGTGTGTGTGTGTGTGTGTGTTTGTGTGCGCGCGTGCATGTATGCATTAGTTTATTAGGTTTATTTATTTAATAAAAAGTGAGGTGCGTATTCATAAACATACACACTTACATGTAAATATGTCAGATTACAGCAGTGGGCTAGTTTGACATGTAGTAGGCTATAAATACAGTAAAAACATGGTTAAAAAAAGAGGACCGCATATGCAATTGGCCGACACGCTCCAAGTACATGTCATTCACACATGGTTGGCTATTGTAGTAAAGTGCAAATGGTTGTTCGTCTTTGTGTGCCCTGCGTTTTGCTGGCAACCAATTCAGGGTGTCCCCTGCCTACGGCTCGCTGAAAGCTTGAAAAGCAATCCCGGGACCCTCGTGAGGATGAGCGGGTTTGAAAATGAATGGGTGGATGAATTTTGTTGAACACCAATAATACCAGGTTGCATTACTGTGAAAATGCTCTGGGCGCCGCTGGTGCAACGTCATTGAATTCGTGGGAAACGACTCTGTGCCGTTGTCCTCCTCTCGGACTCCTTTAAGCACTGCGTCGCGGAGAAATACGACGGTCTACATGCTGGCCTTTTGAAGAGCCACGCTTTCTGTGGATTCGCCGGTTTTATTTGAAGGAATAATCTTGGAATTTGTTTTTAAATTCACGATGGATTGCGTATGGATGCGCGCCGTCAGAGGCCGATGGCGCACACTGCTTGTCATTCTTTGTCTCTGTGAGCTGCACTCCGCGAGTGGACAGGCTCGCTATTCCATACCGGAGGAGCAGGCGGAAGGCTCTTTTGTTGGAAATATTGCGAGAGATTTGGGCTTGGACTTGGGCAGACTGGTGGCAGGCAAAGCTCGTATGATGACAAGCGAAGATCGACAGTATGTTGATTTAAAGCGGGACAAAGGCACGCTTGTCGTGAAGGAGCGCATCGACCGAGAGGAGCTTTGTGGAAAGACGACGCCCTGCAGCTTCAGTTTCGACATCATTTTAGAAAACCCAATCCAGCTTTATCGAGTAACGGTGGAGGTCGTGGACATTAATGACAACAGTCCCTCCTTCCCACAGTCTGAAATTAATTTGAAAATTGTTGAAAATGCTGCACTGGGGACTCGTTTCTCACTCGCGAATGCAGCCGACCCTGATGTTGGCGTTCATGATGTTCAGAAATACGAACTTAAACCATCAGATATTTTTAAATTGGAAATACAAAACGAAAGAAATGGCAGAAAGGTAATCGAAATGGTTTTGCAGAAGGCTTTAGACCGAGAGAAAGAGGACAGTCTCACACTCATGTTGATTGCTTCAGATGGCGGTGAGCCACATAGATCAGGGACTGTCACGTCCCGTATTCGACAGCAGGTGGCAGGCACTCACTCTGCCACCTGCACACCTGTTGCGCATTTGTTTGTGATTACACCTGCTTTATGTAGGCGCTCCGGCTGTCAACTCATTGCCGGAGTATTGCTTGCCGTGCCACTGCTATTGCCCATGCTCGTATTTCGTAT